CCTGTTATTATTAATCCACCACATTAATGTAAAATCATATTTGTTGCAGTTTGTTGCCAGACAGGCTTTTGTTTGTTGAACGTCAGAGCTGCTCGTCTTCCCACCATGCTGCATGCAGCCCGTATTGTATTTGGACGTCTGCAAGCAGTCATGTGACTGTCTGCCACAGAATAAAATAAATACGGATTTAAACGAGCACTGCAGTGCTTGCAGGAAACATCCAGTTTGAATGTCACCATGGGGTCTCCCCCCCTCCCTGACCTGCAGAAGAAACCAAACAAACCTCACTTGACCTTGACTAAGAATCTGTAACACATGGCTTTTTAAACCTTTCGCCCGGGTTCTGTTTCTGTAGTTTGGTTATGGAGCAGGGACGAGCATGAGCAGCTGTGAATTCGGGGTCATTGAGTCCATGCAGGCACACTGTGCAGTGTGTCTTCAGTGCAGGAGGAAGAGGAGGAGGAGGAGGAGGAGGGACAGAAAATCTGAGGCTGGCACCACCTGTCATTGCTTGTTGTGCTCACCTGGTGATCCCAGCCATGAGATGGGATTAAATGGGGAAACAGTTGCATATCACCCGCAGCCTGCAGTTTGAACCCAGCATGATGTTGACAAATGATTTTGGTCCAACCTGGAAAGTGTTGTTTTGCTACGTCGCCATATCTTGTACAATCTGTTAGCCCTCGGAGCATGTGTTTTAAACTACTCTCGGCTACTACCACGCCAAACTTTAGCTCACTATCTGTAGAAGTAGCTGAGTTTGTATTCTAAGGTCAATTAGCTGACGCAGCCATCTTGAATTGGGTTGATTCACATCCTGTGATTGCTTTCTGCACGTTTCATCGAAATAAAAAATCTATTTTGCTAACAGACAAATAGAGCTTACTCAAATAGTAAATGGTAACATTTTAACCAGATTTAGCTACAGCTAAGGGGAGTGGTGGTGCAGAGGTTAGAGAAGATGGGCCTGTGATTGGAAGGTTGCTGGTTCGACTCCCTGCATCAACATCATATGTGGGTGGGATGAAGCACCCACACCTGTCTCCACCCTTATTTGCCCCACTCTGAGCAAGGCCCTTAACCAGTGGTGTAGTCTATGTGATATGCAAGTATACGGAGTATACCCAAAAGCTTGGGAATGACAGTATACCCACTTATAAGTGCCCAATGATCCGAGCCCATGTCACGTATCATTGGCAATGATACGTGACATGGGCTCGTGTCATTGTCAACACATCTGGAACATTTTATAGATGCATCAAGTTGGTTCAACTTGTTTTTTGTAGAATTAATACTTTTTTGTATAATTACTACTTCTGTACTTCTTAATACTTGAACATGTTTTGCTTTGATACTGTTTTATAAATTCTATGTTTTTAATACAAAGTCAACTGTTGTACAAAGTTTGTTGTACATTTATTCAAATAAAAGCATCAGAGAAATTTATTAAAAGTTCAATGGGCCGAGATGGTGTAGGGGCAGGGCAGCCGACACGGGACCCGAAGGTCCTGGGTTCAGTCCCTGGTCATTGCACATCTCGTGGTGTCTCTGAGCAGAACACCTTATCCCCAGTTGCTCCCCTGGCCTCTCCATAGCTGCCCACTGCTCCACCTGGTGGTGGATGGGTTAAAAGCAGAGAGCCAATTTTTCCATTGTATGGGAACATAAAATGATGACAATACATAACACATTACATTACATATGCTTAAAAATCGAAATTAAATTTAACTGTTACATTGTACTAACCGCTGTGCTTTCATTTCTAAGCACTGTATACCCACTACAAAAATGTAGACTACACCACTACCCTTAACCCACATCCTCTGCTACCCTGGGCACCCTAGATAGCAGCTCTCTGCTCCACACAGAGGGCTGTGGTTGTGTCTGGAAGGGCATCTGGCGAAAAAACAATTGCCAAGTCTTTGTGCGACTTAGTTCACTGTGGCGACCCCTGAAGAAGGGAGCAGCCGAAAGAAGAAAAAACAGTTGCCACATCTACACCAAGTTTTAGCTCAATATCTGTAAAATTGACAGAGTTGTAGCCATTTTGTCTTTGATTGTTTGATTAGCTGTGGTGGCCATCTTGAATCAAGTTTACTTCAAATGTTAACCAGTTGTAGATGTTCATCTAATGATTACTTTCTGGGCGTTTCCATAAAATCCGCCCAGTGGTTCAAGAGATATTTTGCTAACAGACACTGAAAAAAGCAAAAATAAAAGGTAAAACCAGACTTCTGCGTGTGGTCTGTGGAAATATCAAACGGCCGTCGGCTGATAGGCGTGAGACAGATGGGTTTTTGACATTTTAAGCCCCTTTCTCCAGTTGAGCAGACACTCATGTCTGGACGAGCATTAGAGGATTTTCCCCTCTGAAAGCAGATTGTTTTTCCTGGAGTTTGAGCGGCAGCAAGACATTAAGTCAGGAGGAGTGAAGCAGACGTCTGCTGCTGGTCAGCGGTGTTTCAGGAACTTCACAGCTGCAGCTACGATCATTTTACTCTTTCATAGGCGAGAGAACACATGCTGCTTCCATCTGGGGATCCACCATCTTGGATCTCTGCTGAAGACTTACAGTGGCTCCATAAGAGGATGAAGGAAGGGCATTTCTCCTGCAGCGTTAATGAACAGCTGAAAGTAAACCCCTTCCATTCCTTGAAGAAATGCACATCATCTTTTCCTGATATGCCAGAGGTTTAGACTGAAAGGGAAAGACCAGGTTGTGAAAAGTAACACCACCTCATACAATACAGGAGCCATCAGCTGAGGGCTACGTCTGATTTGGTCAAAATAAACAAAAAACATTTACAGATTTACGTTTTGACTTTTTCCATAATCTAGCAAGAATTTCTTGACATCAGTAGAACGCGGAAGCCTCACACCGAATTTGAATATCAAGATTTCCCATCTGAAAAGTAAAACAAAGGTTTGCTAGCATACAGGGAGCTTCAGAACTGTCTTTAGGATTATATTTTAGACATTTCATTCAAAGGACCCATAAATAATATATTTATTCATTATCCATCCATCCATCCATCCATCCATCCATCCATCCATCCATCCATCCATCCATCCATCCATCCATCCATCCATCCATCCATCCATCCATCCATCCATCCATCCATTATCTTCCCCTCGTTCTGAAGTTGGGTCTCGGGGCAGCAGCTTGAGCAGGGAGGTCCAGACATCTGTTTCTTCCAGCTCTTCTGGGAGGACTCCAAGGCATTCCCGAGAGCCAACCGAGAGACATAGTCTCTCCAGCATGCCCCCCACTCCCCCCCGGATCTCCGAGTCAGACATGTCCAAAGCACCTCCCTAGGGAGGCATCGAGAGAGCATTCTTGCCAGATGCCCGATCCACCTCAACTGGCGCCTCTCGATGTGGAGGAGTAGCGGTTCTACTCCGAGTCTCTCCTGATAACTGAACTTCTCACCTCGTCTCTAAGGGAGAGTCCAGCTACCCTGTGGAGGAAACTCATTTCAACCACCTGTATCCGCAATCTCATTCTTTCGGTCACTCAGAGCTCGTGACCATAAGTGGGTAACGTAGACCGACCGGTAAACAGAGAGCTTTATTTTACAGCTCAGCTCTGTCTTCACCACAATGGACCAGTACAGAGTCCGCAGTGTAGATGCTGCACCAATCTGTCTGTCAATCTCATGCTCCATTTTTCCCTCACCCATGAACAAAAGCCCAAGATAAATGAACTCCTCCACTTAAGGCAGAACCTCATCCTCGACCCGAGGACAGCAATCCACCCTTTTCCGGTTGAGGACCATGGCCTCAGATTTGGAGGTGCTGATTCTCATCCCAGCCACTTCACACTCGGCTGCGAACCGCTCCAGTGAGAGCTGAAGATCACGGCACGATGACGTCAACAGGACCACATCATCTGCAAAGAGCAGAAAATCCTGGAATCCTGAGGCCACCGAACCGGACTCCCTCTGCCCCCTGGCTGCACCAAGAAATTCTGTCCATGAAAGTTATGAACAGAATCGGTGACAACGAACAGCCCTGGCAGAGTCCAACTCCCACCCTGAAGGGGTCCGTCTTACCGTAATCCCGGCAATACAAACCAAATTCTCCCACCACTTGTATAGGGACCAAACAACCCGTAACAACGGGCCCCCAATCCCATATTTATTCATTAT